GTACCTGTACGTAATAAACAGTAAGATCAGCTAACTTAAAGGGTACTTTAACATCTAGTACCTGTACGTAATAAACAGTAAGATCAGCTAACTTAAAGGGTACTTTAAAATCTAGTACCTGTACGTAATAAACAGTAAGATCAGCTAACTTAAAGGGTACTTTAACATCTAGTACCTGTACTTAATAAACAGTAAGATCAGCTAACTTAAAGGGTACTTTAAAATCTAGTACCTGTACTTAATAAACAGTAAGATCAGCTAACTTAAAGGGTACCTTAAAATCTAGTACCTGTACGTAATAAACAGTAAGATCAGTTAACTTTAACATCTTGTACTTGTACTTCATGTGGTAATAAGAGTCACTAAGTTTATATACTTTCAAACCTATGATGGACTTTTAATAAGTCACAGAGCTAGAGGGTAAATATACCTAAGTAGAATGGTGTGTTTAATGATCAGTATCAACAAGTATTGTGTCTATTCATATTTAACATTTATGTAATATGAAATACCAAAATTTTTTCAAATGTGTTTGATCTACTGGATGATATATTATTTTAAAAGAAAGGATTTGATTTGAGGGGGTGTTGTTATGATACAAAAACCAGTTGTATATTTAACTTTTACCAAAATTTAACATCTTTTAATCTAACTAGCCTGCCACAACCTTTCCACAAATACCTATGTAAGTGTTTGTTCGTTAAAGTAAATTTCTTTCAAAATTGTAAACCTGTAACAATCAACTAAGGTTGGATGGAATGTATTTATAAATGTATAATATCTACAAACAAAAACCCCAAAAAAAGTTTGTAAATACCATTTTTATTTGAATCCCTGCCTTTTTTTTTGTGGTTTATATTGAGTTTGAGAAACACATTGTAAACATAATACTTAATAAATATGGTGCTTTATTTACATACATCATTTTTCTGTTAATTGTAATTTCTCTTGTGTTGGTAAATTACACTTTAATACTTTAGTATATACATTTTTTAATTCCAGAGTGCCATGCCTGATAACCTGTTTGTGAACTATCTATCTCGAATACACAGAGAAGAAGACTTTTCATTTATCTTGAAGGGATTTACTCGTCTCTTGAACAATCCGCTAGTCCAAACCTATTTACCTAATTCTTCAAAGAAGATCCAGTTTCATCAGGAATTATTGGTATTTTTTTGGAAAATGTGTGATCACAACAAGGTATATTTGATAAAAAACTGTGATACATTTGATTTGAAAGTTCTAGAAATGTATTTTGTATTCATTGCTTGTTGGCAGAATACTAATTATTATGCATAAGTAGATATCATATTCTTACCTTTTTCGAGATATTCCTTTGACAAAAGCCTGTTTTTCATGCTACCATTCTTTGCTAAGGAGTCAGTTTAATTTTCCTTATCTAACTATTCAAGCTACAAATACTAAAA